AGAAAGGGCATATTCCTGATGCACTACTTTCTTAATTTTGAAGTAGTCAGAGTTTCCTTACTCTGTTCTGAAACTACTTACTGGTCTAAGTGTAGGTTTTGCATGAGCACAGTCATTCTTTTAAATGTTAGTCAAAATTTGTTGTGATTCACAGTCAAATGTCATTGAATAGCCAAGAAAACCCAAATAGACATTCTCCAGGTAGCTTTTGAGTACAGCCAAAGTCCATCTGATATTAGCATTTATGACCCTTGGTCATGGCATCTTCTAAACTGAACTCATATTTCTGGTTGTTGTCTGGCACTGTACTTTTCCAATTGTTTTTGGATAATCTTCAACAGGATTTTGTTTGGGTACTATATTCATGATATTGATTTGTTATGTGCTGTTGAGTCACCTGTGACGCATAGTGACACTATGTACAACAACCCTAAACCCTGCTCTGTCCTGTGCCAATCTCTGACACAATTACCCCTATAACCTCAGTCTGTGAATTAACTCATCAATATAGGGTCTTCCTCTTCTGCTATGTCCTTCCACCCATGCAAGCATGACATCCTTCTCCAAGGGCTGGTCCCTTCTTGCAACATGTCCAAAGTATGTCAGATGAAGCTTCAGAATCCTTACCTCCAAAGAACAGCCTGGTTTAACCCACTCCAGGATAAATCTTTTTGTTTTCTTAGCAGTCCATTGTATATTCAATACTCTTCTCCAACACCACAGCTTAAAGGCATCAATTCTCCTTCTATCATCCCTAGTCATTGTCCAGCTCTGTGATGCATAGCAAGTGATTGTAAAGACCATGGCCTGTATCAGGCATACCTTAGTCTCCAGAAGGACACCATTGCTCTTCAGTACTTTGGAGAGGTCCATAATAGTAGATTTTCCCATCGCAATCCGTCTTTTAATTTCCTGGTTTCTGGTGCCAAGAGTGTTGACTAGCCAAGCAAACTAAAGCTCTTAACAATCTCACTCTCTTCAACATCCCTCCTAATGCTACCAGTTGGCCCTGTGATGAGAATACTTGTTTTCTTAAAATTGAGCCTCAATATTAAGGTTGCATTCGTTAACCTTCTGCACCAAGCACTTCAGATCCTCCTCAGTTTTAGCAAACAGATTTGTATCATCTGCATAACACAGATTGTTGAGGAATCTTCCACCAACACTTCTTCTCATACAGTCCAGCCTCCCTGATAATCAGTTCTGCATATAGGTTGAAAAGGTATGGAGATAAGACACATCCCTGGCATACTACCTTTCCAATTTTGAACCATGCAGTGTTTCCTTGCTCTGTCTGATGACTGCCTCCTGGTCCAAGTATACATTTCACATTAGCATGATCAAGTGTTCTGGGATTCTCATTCTTCTCAGAGTCAGCCATAGTTTGTTGTGATCCACACAGTCAAATGCTTTTGCATAATAAATCAAACACAGATCTACATTCTTAGGGTATATTCTGAGCAGTGGACTAGCTGGGTCATATGGAATTTCTATGTACATCTTTCTGAGGAAATGCCAAAATTGGTATTCCATCAATTCCTTGGGACTTGTTTTTTACTATCTCCTTCAGAGCAACTTGACTTTCTCCCTCAAGACCATTATCTTTTTATCATATGCTGTTTTATAAAGTTCTTCTGTGTCATCCAATTCTTT